CCCTAAATACTATTTGCATAGCATCATATTGTATTAGGTATTATAAGAAATCTAGAAATGATCTAGTATGTATAGGAGTATGCACGCTGGTCCTGTGCAAATATAACACCATTTTATGCAAGGTTCTACGGCATTCCACATACTGCTGTCAAAAGTTAGGTCCCAGAGTATTCCATTAATACTGAGGGATCACTGTGTTTTAAATATGTAGGCATAAACTAAGTGAAAAAAATCAAATCCAAATCAATTTTTAAAAACAGCGATCTCTTGGAATGAAGCAATGTATGGTTTTGGGTTTTTTCTACTTGGACTTTTTCTATGCTTTTCTAGTTTAATTGTTATTAATACAATATAAAATGAAACAATATTCAAATTGTTATTTTGTTGAAGTTAGACTAAAATTATCTTAGTAAGAAAAGGATTTAAAAATCAGAATGTGCCTTTAAACAGTTTCAATTGCTGTGAATTTAAGCTTTTAGAAATGAAAGGAATTGACCCCGGACACCAACACTCCACCCTTAGGCTAGATTTGAAGCTTAATATTTTTGTCTACTAGGCTCACTATAAACCTGATTGCTTTTGATTGATGGGCATTCCTCCTTAACATTTTCTACAAGTAACCAAACATCAGGGGTGTTTTGCTAAATTCACCTAACAGGTGTTGCAAAGCAGCTTAGTGCCCACCATGTCTTTTTCTTTCCCAGAGTTTCAAGGGATGAAAAGGGTGACGGGATATGGGATACAAAGAAGTCAGTGACTGCCACTCCTGATGGCTGCGGAGCCACATGACAATAAAGTAGTTGATCTGCCTGTGGAAGAGAGAGAAGTTGTACCTTCACAAAAAGAAAGTTGCAAGGAAATGGCCAGGGCACCTGGAGAGTATGATACTTATTTAAGTGAGAAGGAGAGCTTGAGAATTTAGAATGATCTATAGCTGGACATTATGTAGTTCCTGTTACAATTTAACAGCTGTAAAAACACGAAAAGACCTGGGGTAAAAACACCTAATTGAGGAAAAAAATAGTGTCTCCCTGCCAAGGCTCCTTTATGCTTGGAGAGTGCTGTGGAGGTGGAAGTTCCTGAGGACAGCACTTCCTTTCTTGCTATCCCAGGGAGCTCTGATGCTGAAGCCTTCTGAAGCTGTACATTACCGGCAGTGAGTTCTGTTAACGTTACTAATTGATGCTGAAAAAGAACCAATCACTGCAGCATAGTTGGGGGATGCTTCCCAAGCAACAGAATGAGGGCCATTTTAAAATGTGTATTGCTCAATCTATCTTCGCCTATAAATAAGACGGAGGCCCTAGAAGTCCCATATCAGAGGGCAGTACAGTCGTCAATGTAAGATGTCTGGTCATCTGATTTCTCACAATTTCTGGTCATGATTTCTTCTTCCGTTAGTTGAGTTCTTCCTCTGCACATTATGCAAATGCATTTGTATTTCTAGAAACACCCAGAAGCAGGGGTGTCTATGTGAAGAGCCCTGCCTGACTTGTTTTCACAACCTTAGAACCCATCTTGAGACCTGCCTATTAGAGGTGCTGAAAACTGAGTAATAAGTTCTTGGGAATTTCTATTTTGAAACAAACAAAATGCACACACAAACACTGAAACAGATGTCTTTAGGATATTGGACACTGCTGGTAAAACTTCAGGTTGCTCAGAGGACAGAATTGTTTAACACTGACTTCCTGTTTGGGTTTCCCAAACTTGTCTAAATAACACAGATGAAATGCTGGAAACATTGCAAACACTTGTTCCTCCCCAACACCAGGGTTGCAAAGATTGCACCGGAAAATATGTCTTTCAGCTTTTCCCTTCCTTCAGCCACTCCACAGCTGGTAACACATTTTCAGCCTTGTTAAAAATTTTTCCTGCTGATAAAATTTCTTGGACCTTTTTCTCAGGCAGTAGTCTTCACTACCAATCCTACTGTCAACATCTTTCCCCCTTTCTCCTTCTTCTTCTTCTTCTTCTTCTTCTTCTTCTTCTTCTTCTTCTTCTTCTTCTTCTTCTTCTTCTTCTTCCTCTTCTTCTTCTTCCTCCACTTCTTCTTTTTTTTCAAATAAGGAAAAGATGTGCTTCAACCTGAGCCCAAGCCCGTGAACAATCGCTGTGACTTTGCATGCATCATATCCTAGCAATCTCTTTGGAGACACGGGGTGTTGAGTGGAGATATGCACACATCCTGGGGCATTTCAGCTTTTCTAACAGGCCTTCACACATTTCACAGCAACACATCTGCCAATACATAAGTCACTCAAAGAACATTAGTATTTCTGTCAATGGAAGCGTGCTTTAAGTTTATCGCATATGTTAAAAAAAAAACGTTGATAACTATTACATGGAGAAGAGCGGTATTTCAGATTCACTGGGAATCAGTTTCCATGGAGTCTAGTGGTATTGAGGAGAATCCCCTCCTCCTGCAAATCTGTAAGAGCTGGATCTGAAAACAAGAGAGGAGAGGACGTTCTACAACAGAACTCTTTTTATTCATACTGTTGATTCTTTTCTCTGGAAGCAAAGGACAGAGTGTGCTATAGAATATATTAAAACATCCAGCTCTAGAGAAAATTTTCTGGAACAACAGACATTCCACTGTGGCGTCAATTACAATGATTTTGTAAACATTGGCATTAAGATCATAGAAAATAACGTGTAGGAGTAAATATGATTTGAGGGTGTTTGCAAAGAGAGTGAAATCTAAATGAACAGTCTATTTTGGACCCAGTGAATAAACAGCTAAAGTTGAAATCACTTTTTGAAGAATATCTAGAACACAGAAAAATGGTTACAGAATTAGAAAAGTAAAAGCTTTTCTTGGAGACAATTTAAAAAAAAAGGTTGCCCACCATTGTCTCTTGAGGAGCCCCATTTTATAGTGTTTTACAGAGTTTACGCTTCCCAACATGAATTTACCCCATCTTTCAATGGGTTCACACTTTCTCTTGAGGTTTAAACATTTACTTCTGTTCTTAAGTAGTCCTGCAGGGTAGAAGGGCCACTTGGATGTTGACTGAGCTTCCCAGTCAGAAGCAAGGCACAAGGATTACAAGTGATCACTTCCCTATTGCAACTAACGTTCTTTTCATCAGTGTTAGTTTCTTTTTAACAACTACAGGAAACAAAGCTTCTTTCAATACAGAATTTGACAGGTAGAAATCCTCACTGGGATAAGGAATTATAGTATTTGCTTTAAGAGAGACACATATACAGTACTTAAAGGCATGTTTCCTGTCCCTAAATATACTATGTGAAACTGGATGACAACTTTAACTAAATAAAAGAATAGTAGCACTGTGTGCCTTTCTAATGTAAGCTTCAGTGAGACAAACATCATCATGAATACTATTGAAATAAACAGGGCTAAAGGTTAAAAACAATGTGACTGGACAGTTGGCTCAGAAGTTAAGAACACTTGTTACAATTGCAGAGAACAAAGGTTCGATTCCTAGCACCCATATGGTAGTTCACGACCATCCGCAACTCTAATTGCATGGAATCTGACCCCCTCTTCTGACCTTTACAGACACCAGGCACGCACATGGCTCAAATACATACATGTAGGCAAAACATCCATACACATAAACATAAACTAAGTAGATCTAATTTTTTGAAAGATTAAAGACAAATGATTAAAGAAGTAACTGCTTAACCAAGCACATAATCAGAAAAAAAATCTAATTGACTATGTGATGGAGAACCTAACAATTTTATATGGAGATATTTGACCCTGCTTTCTGAAGTACCTATCTCTGTGTTTCTTTCTCACCAAAAGTCACAAGGATTTGAAACAGGCAGCTCTATTGGGTATCAAATGCTATATTATTTGCTGTTATTCTTTCTGTAGTCCTGGTGGATGCTGTCTGGGATGGGGAGAGACAGAAGTCCTCAGGATGAGCCAAGTGGCTTCCAGGCAGACAGAGAATGGTGTAAAGCTCGGCTGAGCTGCAGAACATTATAGGACAAAGCAGAGAGAGAGAGTGATGGACAGAGAATTATCCCATGGTGCTTATTGTGGGAGCCCACAATGATTCCTACTTATGGTTTGACTCAAAGTCAGAAAGTCAGAGTTTATGTTGCTCTCCAAGGCTGCAATAATAGGGTGCAAAGGGATGGTTACCGGGTGTGTTATACTTCAAGGCCTAATCACAAGATAGTTTGCCATGGGGTATGGTTACTAAGTGTTTTGAAGGATCTACACTTGGTTGTACATTGTACTTCGATCTTGAAAGGAGGAGGTCTTTCGCCTCTTCCCTTGTTAGTGTATAAAAAGCCCATTAGAAATAAACTCAAGGCTGCTAGGTGTTGACTCAGAGCCCTCCCAAAGCTATGCTGTGTCTCTATCATTTTTTTCTTCATCTACTTCTATATTTCCTATCTAACATTTCTCAGTTCCTCACCCCTCCCTTCAAGGGACCCTTCGATAGGTCCGGACTGGATCCTAACATGGGGCTCCGACAGTTTATAACACTGTGGTTGACTTGAATGCTAGTGGGAGTAATAACTGCTCCATCCTACACTACAGAAGCCACCAGCAGACTTGTTAAATGTAGCTTTAGAGACAAGAGTGTGTAGTTTTTCTTCTGCTAGAGTAAACTTTGTAATATCCCACTTAACATCTATAGTCCCACTTTGGAATAGTTTTAGGTGAAAGGTCTATCATGGCACCATTGAGTTGGGGGACACTTCCAGGCAAAATAATAAGAGAGTTTATGAGATTCTGAAGACAAGTAATAGAACCCACTTGGAGACTTTGATCTTGGGTTGGTTTTAAAAAGTAGACTGTCCATTTTAAATATTATTATGAACATTTTTGCTGCACTATGCAACAAACAGAACAAGAAGATGGTATAAATGCAGAATTAATATTTTCTATTTGTTGTTTGTCACAGATCTTTTAGCTTAGTTAGATTGCACACATTTTTAGATGTAACTGTTATCTCTCTCTCCCCCCTCCCTATCCCCCCACCTTTGTCCCTACCATCTCTAACAGATCTCTTTACTGCAAGACCTTGCTGAACTGTAGAAGAGACATAGGAGTTTGTAGATTACAGGCTAAGACATGGAAGTGTGGAAATGTGCCTGGCTACTATTATGTAGTATGGTAGGTTACTATTATGTAGTTTATGGACACATTCTCTGCCACAAGGAACTGAAACTCTATTATCAGTCACTTCAGAGCAGTGGATCTCAATCTTCCAAATGCTGCAACCCTTTAATACATTTCCTCATGTTGTGGTGACCCTCAACCATAAAATTATTTTTGTTGCTGCTTCATAACTATAATTTTGCTACTGTTAAGAATCGTAATGTAAACATTTTTGAAGACAGAGGTTTGCCAGAGGGTCGTGACCCATAGGTTGAGAACCACTGCTTTAGAGGATCCTTTTCAGCAATCTATGTCTACAAGCAGATTAATGATGAAGAAAGGTATGCTAAGACGAATATCATTATAGGTCATCCAGGGCCAACTCCCTTGAAGATAAAAAGATTTGCTGGGGAGAATGATGGACACCAAATAACTGACTGTGAACTTAATTTACAAACTCACCACAGATGAGTAATACTTAAGTCACTGGCACTTTCAGGTGAATACATAATACTTACTTTTTAGGGAAATAAGCATTGTGGTTGTCTGGGAAATTGGGGTGAATCTATACATATTCACGTAATTTTGTGTTTGTATCTTACAAACTCAATCATTTTATGTGGAAACTTCCCCTTTGTTAATTGATGATGATGTATTTCTTTCCTAGATAGTTTCTGCTGTGAATATCCATTTTAAATGGGTGGTTTAAGACATAATCCTTCCTGGAGGCAGAAGAAATTGTTCAACAGTTATGTAAAGTCTTTTGGAAATCTGTATGCCGAGACACAAGGTAAGCCTCAAGCAGGTCATTCAGAGTACTCGCGACACTTTCAGAAAACTCAACAGCTATTTTTAAGATCCAGACTGGCAATATATTTACACATGAGTGTAAGACACTAATTAGTGCTCCGGTGAATGAGCAATGCCATCCCAGGGGTCTAACAATTCACACTTGAAGAGTGAGTTCTGTGAGGCCCAAGGAAAACGAGTGAGGTTTCTCCTGCCTCTTGCTCTATACCAGGTGTTTGGTTCCCCTCTTAAGTCTGCAACTCTTCTTGTGTTAATTTTTTTTTTTACATTGTCAATGATTTTTAAAGAGAAACTGCAATAATGCTTTATATTTCAATATTACCTGTTTCCTAAACCCTTAATGATTTATAAAACCATTCACACTGAAAAAAAATGGCCAATTTTAATAAGACTATTAACTCTCTCTGACTATATTGGCTCCGTTTAGTGAACTGAAAATTAACTAAATAAGAAGCCAGCTTCCATTTTCTTCATACCTCTAAACATAACATCAAACTTTAATAAATGTGGACCTAGATAGTAAGAGAATTAAATGCAAGGCCCTGAGGGCAGAGGTTTCTAGGAATGTGCTTGTAATAGAGTTTCACCTGGGATTCAATTAAATATTTAGTGTGAGTGGCTGACAGAAAGTCCATGTGCTGAAGGCGGTGGGAAGGCAGAGATGAACAGGACAGTTTTTGTCCTCTACAATGACATGATCAATGACAGTTCAACACCTTACTTGGGGGTGAGGTGGGGGAGGGACCCTCCTCCTTTTTCTCCTCCGACACTTACAAACCTGCCTGTGTTTGTGCAATCTTTTCAGCCTTTCCTCTGGTTTCCTAGGCTCAAACATCCTTTGTAATCCAAGGATAAGCTCCCCTTGCACACCTCTGACACCACCTTCGCCCATTTTCTGGGACCCCCGCCTTCCTCTGCCTTTGCGAGGGTTGTATTATAAAGCAGAGGTCACCCGGGTCTTTCTGCAATAAGCCAGATAGTGAATAGTTTAGACTCTTACAAGGCATAAGGTAGTTGTTGCGACCACCCAATTCTGTGGTAATGTCAGAGTAGCTGTATGTAAACAAATGTACAAATATGTAAATTATGTCAATAAATAGATTAGACCAGCTTCCAGGAAACTTTCATGTATACACAATAAAATTTGAATTTCATTTGTCTTGAAATTTTGCTTTAAAAACCATTTCAGTTTGTCTAAAGGGGATACAAAAGCACGTTGTGGACACATTTGTGCCACTCACTGGAGTTGCTGAGCCTTGCGCTTTAAAAGGTTGCCACGTTTCCGTAGGTCAATCTTTCTTTTTCTACTCTTTCTTAGCCTACAATCTCCCAAGGTATATAGTAACATTTAACAATGACTAAACACTGAACAAGAAGTAGATGCTGATTATCTAAAAGAGAAAAACCAGGCAACCAGACAGAGCTTTTAGCAATCCTGGTCAGTGGGAGCATCCAGTGGACAATGTCAGAGCATCCACATCCTATCCCCTCATCTTAATTGGAAGAGAACACAAAGCTCTCCTCACATCACTATCTCCACACTGCTCCATTGCTTTACTCTTCACAGCCCATGCTTCTGAGAAGTGTAATTTTCTCTCTCCTATCCATTTTACAATGAATCCAAAACAGTTCCTTGGAAACTCGTATTTCCAGAATGCATACTGCCTCCTTTTATTGTTTCTGAAGAACTAGTCTTTACATTTCATCCCCTTCCTTCATCCACATTAAATTCCCTTAGTTGTCTTCTATTATTCCAGCTTTTGGTTCTTGGTTGCTTTGATGAGTCTGGACTCACTTCTTCCTACTCCTAGTGTGGTCCAGGAGCACTCCTCTTTGCTGCCCTTTCGATTTGTAGACTTGTTTTTACCAACTTGGGTTTCCCTAGGGCATCTCAAAGTCAGTGTTCGAAACAGTGACCTGAAGATGCCCATCAGATGCCTGTGTATAGTTCCCCCTACCAGCCCAGCAGTATCATCCCTGTTTTCTGATCCTAAGATACTGGTAGTCACTCCCAGCATTGCCCTGCCCTAGCTCTATACTTTCTTACTGTCCATCATCACGTTTCTTCCAAGTGTTTCTCACTTGGGCACATCTCATGGCATTACTAGTCTAGTCTTCTTTGTTTACCTGGATCTGGGCCCCGGTTGAGTCCTCTCCACAGTGCATGGAGATATGAAATCTAAAACTAATCTCAACCAAAGAGATGCCTTCTCTAGGTGCTTGGCATGGTCCTACAGCCCTCTACCATATTGCCTCTATTTCTTACCTCAGACTACCATTGTAAAACCCATTCTCCAGTGATAGAGAACTAACGAGGCAACTGTATACTACCATGGTACTACACATGCTGTTCCAACTACCTGCAAAGGCAATCTCCTTTATCTGACTAACGTCTAGCCACATCTATTAAGAATCAGTCTCTGAATCTATAAAATGGGGAGATGAGCCCATTGTTTCCCAAGTTGTATTGGAAAAGAACTCCTCTCCCTTTGAAAACCACTAGAATTTTGCCATTAGCTAGTGTTCTAGGTAGGCTGAGTCTACTCTATCAAGCATGAAGATACTTGGTAAACCATGTGGGGGGATTGGAAGAGAAAGCTCTGAACAAGGTGCATAGAAAGTGAGGTTGCCCATTTAGCACCCCAGTAGCACAGCTTATTGATGCATGATTTGGGCCTTATGCTTTGCAACCTGCCTCGCTCTCTGTGAAAAGGAATTTCCATTCATTTACTAAAAATTCATTCAATACATACATATCTCAGACAATCTTTGGGCACAGAAATGTTTTTGCATATTATTTCGTATTTCCAAGGAGTTTGCATTCCAAATGGAAGTAGAGATGTAATAAATAAATGAATAGGTCCTACAGACTATTGACTATTATTTTATGTCTATTGTTTAGGAGGAAGTGCTTGCGGACTGGAGGGGGTGCCTGAGGATCGGGGATGGAGCACAGAGACAGAAGAAACATTCAGCAAACTCGAAACAGCACCATCGCGGGCAGAGATACTGAACGGTGCCCTGGAGGAGATGAGGAAGTAGGTCACAAGAATATCTGGATTACTGAGTATTTCAGAAAGAAGAAATCGCAAGCCAGAAGAATGAGGCATTCTCAAGGAATGGAGAGGATAGACTGCTGAGGAAGAGCTGGTAAGTGAAGGGTTAGGAATGAGGTAGCTGTGGACTGTTTGCTGGACAGGAAAAGGAGCAGCAGAGGCCACTGGCACCTCAAGGACTTTAGACTGAGTGGCACAGCCCCTGGGGAGAGGAGAAAATGATCTGGATGAGGCTGAAGGCAACCATTGCTGTCTTCCAGGCACATGGGGGGAGAGCAAGGAGAGAATCAGGAAGCGTTAGGAGGCAATCACAGTCATTCAGACAAAAGATAGTGCTGGCTTGGATCACACTATGGTCAAACAAAGTTAAAATCAGGTGACGAGGGTTAGGTGAGCAGGAAGAGAGAAGTAGATGCTTCAGATTCAAGGTCTTGTCATCTGTGCCAGTATGGGGTGGGGTGATTAGCACTTGGTGCTAGAAAAAGATGCCAAGGCTTTCTGAGTAGTAGGTAAGATGAAGGATCCAGATTAGGTCACACTAAATTTAAGACATCTATGACGAATTCAAGAGGCGGTATCAAATAGGGAATTGTATCCAACTCATTATATATGCATGTCACAGAGTTCATGCCAGGATTAAACTAAAGATTAAAAGTTTTCCACAAAGGACCATATTTAAAGTCTCCCAGCTACAGGATTCAGCTTGCTATCACACAATCTTTTTTTTTAAGGAGTGTCATGTAGTGGGGCTGGAGAGATGGCTCAGAGGTTAAGAGCACTGGTTGCTCTTCCAGAGGTCCTGAGTTCAATTCCCAGCAACTACATAGTACCTCACAACCATATATAATTAAATCTGGTGCTCTCTTCTGGCATGTAGGCAGAACACTGTATATGAATGAATGAATGAATGAATGAATGATAAATAAATAAATAAATAAATAAATAAATAAATAAATATTTTTTAAAAAAGTGTTATGTAGCACAGACTGGCTTCAAACTCATAATGTAGCAGAAATAATCTGAGGACTGAGACTCATGCACCGCAATGAAGTAGCAGCAGAGAAAACTGAGAAGAAACAGAAAAATCTGAAAGGAGGAAGACCAGGAAGGAAGTTGTTTCCTCATAGCAAAATAAAAATTTTTGAAGGAAAAAAAGAAAAGCATGGCCCCTGAGCATGAAGGAGTCAGTAGCAATTTCAGAAGCTTCCGGCAGGTCAAGTAAGTAGATGGTTGAGAATTTATAATTAACTTTAAAATCACAGAGGGCACTGTGACCTTGACAAGCAGTTTTGATGGCGTTCTAAGGGAAATCTAAACAGCTCCTTTCTAGCAGTCTTGCCAAGCAAATCAAAATGGAGGCGTGGACAGAAGGTGTATGGGGAGGTGCAGACGGCAAGACTGCTCATTTTTAAGTGAGAAACAGGATACTTATATGGTGGTAGAAATAATAGGACAAGAGGAAAGCCTGATGAACCAGGAGAGGGGAGGATTTGAAGAGCAGAGTCTGGGGAGGTGGAAAGGAATGAAATCTACAGCGCATGCTGAGCACACAGCCTTGCATCAAACCACATAAATTTATAATGGGAAGTGGAAAGTAGAGGCTGGGGTGGAGGACAAGAAGGTTCTCTCTTGCTTCTATTTTCCCAGATTGGACACTTGTGTATGAGGGGAGTATGCTGGGGACAGGTACGGGGAGGAACAGACTATCAAGCTAACCAGGTTCACAGTTACAACCCAGGGTTAGCTGAAACAAAGCTGTGTCCTTTTCTGCAATGTTGTTCAGTGATAAGAAAATAAGTGGACAACATGCAGAGGGTTTGACTCACACTGGGGTGGAGTCACGCCGTGCGGGCATTATAAGCAAGAGAAAGGAGCAAAGAACAGTGATTCTAAGGATGTTTATTATACTGATGGGCCATAGACCCTAATTGATTTTAGAAAGGGAGGGAAGGATGAGCAGAAAGGTAGTGGGATCAATGCACATACCCCAGTAGGTTTGAAGAATTACATGAACTGGATAATTAGTAACAGGGAGCTGGCAAGATAGCAGGAGTAGCAGGGAAGGACCCGGCTGCTTGAGAGTGAGATCACAGCAGAATGGTATGGATCACACCATACAATCACGGGAATGGAATGGAAAGATAAGTAAGCTGTGTGCACAAGAAGAAAGTGAGAGAGAGCTAAACCCCCACTGGAATGGGCCATCGACAGAGCCACTGACGTTACCAAGAATCACAAAGGTGGGGTGTGAGAGCGGGAATCGAGATGGAGCAGAGTGCGTCTGTCAGGTACTGGAGAAAAGACAGCCATACGTAATGCCTTTCAGGGTGGTGGAGATCAAAGTGAATATAAAGCAATGGCTGAGCCCTGAGTTCATAAGGAAACCTGTAAAATTAGCTTCCCTTTGCTCGCCAGGCCCACAGCTGACAATCACCAGCTTCTACCGCCAACACAAAGCTCCCCTTGCCTTCCTGACTGAGGGAGAGCTGTGTGCTGGAATGGAAGGCCAGTTTCTCTCCAGATCACTGAATGAGATTGCTGTGGGGCTTTGGACACTGTGGGGTTAAAAACATCAGAAAGTAAGTTTTGAATGACGTTATTTTAGTATAGGATAAACTTAAAATAGTCAAATTTCAATAAGTGATTTACCTACTTTTGAAAAAACGTAATAGCGTTGTCTTTCTCTTTAATTTACACTTAAGCTTGCGCCACCTTGCTCCACATGCTTCTGAATGAAAGCTGTAAGAGAAGGTAAGCGGCCATGGATTTTTCTGTCTGACCGTGGCTGGTCAGCTCTAGGAGCTCTCCATGTGTTTGGAAATAGCGCTCTCATAAAGCCTTCTTGGGGCAATGAGGTGGGGCCTCAGGTTGCATCACGCCCTATGATTGATAGGCTGGGATTCTACCTTTTTCATATTTACTGAATTTTTCTGTATCTTCAGCTACTTTTAAAATGCTCTTAACGAGTTCGTTGTTGTTGTTGTTGTTGTGTTTTCCTACTGATATGACTCGTTTGAGAACAAGTTGCCACCACAGTCTAAATCTGCCTCGAGTTTTTAGCTCTTCTCTTTGGAATTAGCCCACACGACCCTTCCTGCTACCAGAGGCAGAATGGTACCCCAGCACTTCCTGGGAAGGCCGCACAGTTTGCAAATCAACACGCAAGGGAACGTACTTTTTACTTTGTTATGAAGTGCCACAGTTTAGATTCCCCGGGGAAGACACCCTTGCTCTGTTCCCGGCTTTCTATTTTAGCAATGAGCAGCTAGAATTAGAAAGGAATAGCTATTATCAAGATCCGCAGGGGGCTGGAAACTGCCTCCTGCCGCTCCTGGGTACACAGAGGACACACGTGAGAGTTTTTAATGGGAAATTCCTCCATCTCTGCTTGTTGTTCAGCACCGAGAGGCAAGGGGTGAGGGGCGGCAAACAGACAGAAACAGGCAGAGAGGAGGAGGTCTCAGTACCCTCTGGAGTATCCGGGGAAACTAAAAAAAAAAAAACTGTAGGGAACTAGATAAGACGCCATGGAAATAATTATTCTCTTAGTGGGGACTTTTAAAGACTTCTGTTTCAACATTCTTTTACAGAGCTCATACTGGGATGGGGAGAACATGCAGCAGAATGCGTAGCTCAGGGCTGGGAGAGAGAGAGGAGAGTCAGTGAGGAGGGCATTTAGCAGGCATGGAATGTATCTTCAACACATGTGAGAAGGCGTGCGGAATGGAACTGTTAGCCGATTTGGATTCAAAGAATGAAGGCCTAGTAACGGGCAGTCATAGGTGTCCAGACTCCAAGGCTCTTGGGGGGAAGGTGGGTGTGAGGGCGGAGAAAGGGAGATCAGACAATAAAGCAACCAATTCCAGTCTGCTGAAGGAAAAGCTGGCTTCCGTATTTTTTTAAAGTAAGTGGCTGCTCTTGGTAGGCTCAGGAAACATTCCCTACCTAAGGAGTGGGGGTGGCCTCCTTCTGAGAGGGCCAGAGAACCCGTGCAAAAGGCAGGGGTATGAAGTGGGCCAGTGAACGATGGATAGCACGCTCCACAAACTGGGCCCAATTCATCCAGAGAAAACTTCATCTCCGTCGGCCTAAACATAGAAACTCGAGGGAATCCGTGACTTGACAGTGTGCTAGGGACCAGGATGAGTGAACGGATCTTCCTGTCTACCCGCAAATGCAGGAGGTCTGGGTTTCTTCTGTTGCCAACTCGAACAATGTAGGCACATTTTACTCCACATTTATGTGAAACATAAAGCAAATTCCAACAGCTAGAATTTATTTGTCCCAGGAAGACAATGACTCAGCTAATTCTAAACCATTGGCACTTAATTGAGCCGTTAATACAATTCCCAGTCTATTCAAAATAAATTGTCCACTCTGTTCCCCTTGATTTTTCCGTCTCCCGCAGGACCACATCATAATTCATCCACAGGCTCACTGAGAAATTGAATTCGCTCTACAACAGGGTCTTATTTATTATAAAATGCTACAAAGTAACATCTCCCCTTCTGTCCTTTGGCTTCTGCTTCTTTCTCCCTTTCCTTTTTCCCGTCTTTAGCATGCAATGTCATATTAGAAATTGGAGGTTTTTATGAATGTCCTTGCTCTCCACCCTCAGTCACTATCCATGAGCAACACAGATCAGAGAAGGATGTTTGCCGTTTCACTATATCCCAAATCCCTGCTCAGGACTGGCCTTTTCAGGCGAATCTCACAATGCCCAAGGTCCTGCCCGCACAATGGCCATTTAATTGATGATTTTTTTTTTGAAAGCTTCCTGTACCGAAATGCTAAGATTCTTTCCTGAGCAGAGGCAGACCAAAGGAAAACTAGGTAGGGGCTGTGAGAGCTTTTCTCTGCCTCCACTTCTCCAAGGTCACTCTGACGGTTATCTCTAGACATCAATACAGATTTGAAAGGACACATCATCAGCACCATATGGACTGTTACAAGGCTGAAAGCCTCTCCAGCTGCCCTACAATGAATCTTCATTTTATTCTATAACCTGGGTGGCCTTGCTGGGGCTTTTATGGCTAAAGAAATAGAATAAGAAAAAAAAAGGGGGGGAGGGGGATGGTCTCCAGCTCTCTGTCATGCTGGATCTTGTTGTATTTCTCACCTCTTCCGTTCTTCCCAGTTTGAGTGCTAGGGAGATGTATATCTCAGCAGTTTTGTGAAGGTATAAATGGACTCACATAAAAGAAATTGTCACAGCTCAGGGAAACCCCTACTGTCATATGCAATTGAGAACTGCTACATTTAGGTTAAAATTAGGGTCGGGTTACACCTGGGGTATATTTCTTCAGTCAATTGAAATAATAACAAAAATCTTACGTTTTCACTGCTGGGGGAGCAGAGCTCACTAACTACAGATTTAAACTTTCAAAGCGGTCTCTTTGAATTTAAACGTATTAGTTATACATTCTCACAATAAATGAATAGGTTTCAGTTGTGAATCTGAGAAGCAATTATATTTTCATACTAGAAAAAAAGAAACATTCTAATATTTACCAGATTTCACAGAACTCGGAGTTTAAATGCACTATCTACGCAATGTCTGTGTAGATCAGAAATAAAGTTGAGTTCACAATATGAATCACCCCCTCGAATCACGCCTTCAAGGTTCCCAGGGAAATTTCAGTTCTGAGTAGATGAAGTAGTCAGATGTAAAGCCTTCAAGGATTCAAAACCAGGTTCTTGGGAGCTATGATTCTCCTTACTTTAAAAAAAATTATACCCGGAAAACAATGAAAAAGTGGTAGTTAAAAATGATAGTAAAATAATGAGTCTTTTAAAATGCTAATTCCTTTTCTGAACAACCCAGAATAGAAATCCCTAACAGAACAGTTCTGAGGAATCAATGAATACGGCTTGTGTTCATTTTTGACACCATGCTCACTTACCCCTTTATTTCAAGACCATCCTGCTCACAACTGACTTGACAGGGACCACAGTATCTAAGATTACACACGGCCCTTTTATGCCATGTAAAAAAAATTAATCAAGATGGCCCTGGTATATTTTCTGCTCTTGCTTCTTTATAGTATGTATCCCTTGATGGGACTGTGAAAATAACATCATTTCCTGCATTAATCTAGCTCCAAGATGCCAGGGGCAACGGCAAAGCTCCATGCTACTAAGACTCAGC